AGTGGAAGGGTAGAAAGAGAGAAGTCAGTAAAGTAGACAATCCAACACGCATTTGAACGATTGACCGTGTTCCCCATGTATAAGTTGCATTTGTTGGCATTAAAAAGGAGGCTTGAAACCGATTGGAAATCAACCATTAAACGGTGAATTTTCTTCACCGCTTGTTTGCTAGCATTAGAGAATAAGATTAGGTCATCAACTTAAGCCAGATGAGTTACCAATGTATTGGATTTATGAGCATATTGTAAAAAAGGGTTTTGGTTGAAAAATTCACTTAAAAGGCGAGAGATGATCAAATATCAAAAATGAAAATAGTATGGGACAATGGGTCACCCTGCTCATTCCCACGTTCCGCTCTAAGAAATCCCCGAGAATGACCATTGATGAGGATGCTATATTTATTGGAGTGGAGCCATGAGAGAATAATTTTGCAAAAATCCTGAGAGAAGCCTCGAGCCTTAAGAACCTACAGTATAAACTCCCAACTAGCAGAATCATAAGTCTTGCGGATATCCAATTTAGTAATCATGTTTTCCCCTCTACATTTCTTATCAATATCAAAAATAAGTTTCTGCGTAAGCATAATATTATCCGTGATCCCATGCCCTTGAATAAAAACAGATTGATTGAAGGATATTAATTTATGGAAATGAGGTTGAATATGTCTGACCAAAATTTTACTAATCATTTTAGAAATAATTAAGGTCATGTATATTGGCCTAAAATGATCCCAAGTGCTTTTTTGAATGTTTTTGGGAATGAGGACAATAGTAGCAACAAAGAAATAATTCCCTGGGGTCTCCTCAAAAAAACTTTGGATAGCTTCCACAACCTTTTCCTTAACAATACTCCAACATTTAATATAGAAAACAAAAGTAAATCCATTAGGCCCAGGGGCTTTGTTTCTATTAATATTCAGAAGAGCAGAATAAATCTCCTCAATCGAGGGGATACCACAGAGGTCGAGCTCCACCATTCCACCCACCATGTGATGTCGTACATCATCAAATAAAGAAGCATCAATAATGCCCGATGTCTCATGATGCTCAAAAAGTTTAGAGAAATAGAGAACAGCGCTCTCTCCAATCTCCCCATCCCCGGTAATCTAGAACCCCTCATTATTTTTAATCCTCACAATGGGGTTATTGGCTCGTCTTTGTTTAATGCAAGCATAAAAGTATTTGGTGTTCCTATCACCTTGTGAAAAGTGAGTCTCCCTAGCTTTTTGTCGCAACAATTCCTCCTCCCAAAGGGAGGCCTCCAATAATTCTTTATTTGCTTCCTGCATATCAAGAATAATATAATCAGAAGATTCATCAAGAGCCTGTAAGAGACTTACCCTCTGTTCAATCCTTCTAACTCTAGTATGAACATCCCCAAAAACATTCTAGTTCCAAGACCTTAAGACAGAAGCCACCTTTTTATGAAGCTTCCAGAGAGTGAACCAAGCATTGCCCACCTCCTCACACCTCCAATTAGACACAATGACTCTCAGGAAATCATCATGTCTTGCCCAGACATTTAAAAAACGAAAATGATAAGTGGAGGCCTTTTTGAAAAAATCAAAGGATAGAAGTAAGGGACTGTGATCAGACCCAGATTTGCAAAGATGCTGAACTTGAGAGTAACCATAAGAAGATATCCACAATTGATTAGCAAAACACCTATCAAGGCGTTCAAATAGCTTGCCCCTTTCCTAGGTAAACTTAGAACCAACAAATCCCAGATCAGATATACCAACCAAATCCAAAGCTTTATTGAATTTATCAATTAAAGTGGTGTCAATTCTATGACCACCCAATTTTTCAGAGTCGTGCATAATCATATTGAAGTCTCCTCCCACCATCCAATTCTGATGGATAATGACCCCCATATCAGATAATTTGTGCCAGAGATCATGTCTAGCAGTGGTAGAAGTTCCGACGTAAACAGAAGTGAGGCAATCAGAAAATTCCTCCATAGAGAAAGAAGTGTGCACAAACAGTCTATCATCAATGAGGACATCAACTGTGACATGTTTCCGCCAAAACAACCAAATCTTATTAGAGCAATTAACAAAGACAATTTTTTTTTTGAATTTACCCAAAATGCGGTCATCCGGAGAGGAAACCAAAGGCTCCAAAATAGCAAAAATACCGACCTTATGAATCTTTGTCATTAATTTAAGTTTACCAAGGGAGTGAGAGTCCGCAACTCCCCTGATATTCCAAATAAGGATGTTAAACATGAGTAGATATATTAACCTTCCTAGAAGATCTAGGCCGGGTCCGTCCATTATCTCCATCAGAAAAATAGTGATTCATATCCAACAAATTATTCCCACTATTGTGATTATGAGCCTCCTCTTGAGCTTTATATTTTCTCCGGCGGTACTTTTAAACATGCCATTCATCCCTTAACATTTTAGAAATATCCTCCAAAAGAGTGTCAGAAAGAGCATTAGAGTGATGAGAATATAGAGAATTATTATCACTATTAATAGCATCAGGGAGAGAGGCCGAAGAAATTCGAGCACCCTCAGTATTAGAAATAACAGGAGGAAACACAACAGGCAACCCCTGCTCAGCTCGCCCAACAGGGGAGGCATGTTGAGGGCTCTGTCCCTCGTGCTGCACCAAAACAGGGTGTAGAGGTGGTTGGGAGGTCTCGGCAGTAGCAGATGCCGGAGCATCCAAATTATTTTCCACAGGAGGCAGAGGCGCTTGCTCAACGAGTGGTTGTTTCATACTTCCCTCTTTCCTCAACTCAGGATGTAAACGAAAGCATTGATCCGGACCGTGACCAAACATTCGATAATGAGTACAGTAATAGGGATGCTCTTCTAATAAAACCTATTGTCAGTAACCATTGTGAGCCGAACCAATCCAAACCTCATCAGGTGGAGGTAAGGTGACATCCCTTTCAAATAAAACCCTAGCCATAAACGGTCTCGAGAGATTATACGTGGAAGCATCAAGTTTAAGGGGTCTCCCGAACATAGCTGCAAAGGAGAACATAATTTCATAGTTAAAAAAATCGACTTTCAAACCTGGAAACCGAAGCCAAACAAGGATAATCGGAGCCTCAGCTTTGGGATCGAAGTTGGCTAACCATTTCAAGATTTTCGTAGCACAATCCTGAAACCACACTAACCGCTTAACAAACAGACGCGTATAGTCCTCCTCATTGGACAACTGAATTAAAATATGCCTTCCATCCAAGAGTCCTATCTTCCATCCTTCAGAAAGCTTCATTAGTTTGAAATGTTTCCGAAGGAATTCCATTTTAGGATGCCATACAAGAAATTTCCAACGAGATAGAGGCGGCAAGAAGAAGCGAGATCGACATTTTCGGCTTCGGAGAGGAAGAGAGTTAGCTTACCCTCTTTCCGGCTCGGTTGTCGAATGAAAGAAGACTCATCACTGAGCGCGAGTGAATCGTGAAAGGCAGAAGGGAAGTTTGGAACGCCGGCGGCGATCACGCCGGCATAAGAACGAGCCATGGAGAGACACTTACCCACGTCGCCATAGAATCACAAACCCTAGCAGAGCCATAATCGTAAACGAAAACATTGTAATTATATCTGTGTGTGTGTGTGTGAGAATATATAATTGATGAGTATTATTTCGAGCCAAAATGAGCAGAACACGAGCAAACAAATCTTAGTTTATATTCGGCTCGTTAACTTAGCAAACGAGCCGAACAATAGCTGTTCACGAACAATGAGCCGTTTTGACAGCCCTAAGAAAGGTTGAGATAGACCTACAAAGACTTGGGCATATTGTATAAAAAATAATCAATGTATATAAATGTTTTGGCCACTTGTTAAGCATTTCAACCCTTATTTTTTCTATTGAAGTCGTTTTTAAGATGTAAAAGAATTCTGAAAGGTAACAAAACATTCCAAATGGTTATAATTTATGCATAATTAATTTAGCATGTTAATTGGGTGCTTTAAAATAGAAGTAAGATTTAAGTTATTAATTGTATTGTCTCAATTAATCTCATTGAATTATTAAGCAATATTAAGCCTTTTTTTTTAGAATTATGTCTCTAATTGACTAATTAGACAAATTAGTTCATCCCGTTTTCAGCTAAACAGTGACATTGTTAGCGAATTAAAATTAAATGAGTTGTTTGGCCTATGAACTACTTGAATCCTTTTGATCAAGCAATGAGCATTACTCTTTTTATTTTGGATAAGTTACTGCCGAGGTGTTGGGAGGGAGATATAACTCAATCACGGTTAACGAAAGTAATAGAAAAAAAAAATCATCTTACCATATAAACCTAGAAATGTGTTCATCTAAGTGATGGCTATGTTTTGTTGTAGCTTCTATATATGTAACTAAGATTTGATTGTCGAGTTTTAATTGCTTATCATGAAGGCTAACTCACAATTAAGAATTTTCTTTGTAGTAAAGAATTAGGCATCATAGCTTAAAATAAGGTTTAATTTCTTTCTCAATAGATGAAATTCCTTTTTTTTATATGACACTTCAAAAATGAAATATGATGTTTGTTTATATATCATGAAAGGAGAAGAAGATGCAAAGGAGGAAATAACTATAAATGTACTTTATACTCCAACTTTAAACCCTACCATAATCTTGTTTTTATGTAGTCTGTTTCTTCATAAAAGACAAACTTTCATTTCAAGCCCTTTTGTGCCAACCCTATGTTGGAAGTATATCAACATTATCAATGGTCTCATCTGAAATATTTGGGGATATGTTTTAAGTATGTCCAAGATTTTTTCCTGTGCCACTCCAAACAAGAATCATTGTAATTTTGAAAGATTTTAAGTGTGAAAGAGCATTTGATCATCTTTTTTCCTACTTGTAGATGTTTATTTTTTTCATAGCAAAACAAAATTACGCTTTTATTTATGATAGTTTCCGAGATAAACCTTATGAAATACATGTAATGAAATCTGCCGTTTAAAATTGATTAGTGAGCACAATTATGTGTGCATTTTTGTATTTTAAGCGAATCATATGAAATTGTTTTCTTTTCTGTAGGAATTTTCAAAACTTGTTGCTAGACAAGCAGAGGAAGGAAAGGTATTGTTTTAATAACATTATTTCATACTATCTTATGAAGATTCTAATTATATCCTTCCCTTGATTTTTAGTTGTGTGAATATTCATGTTTTTAAGTTGTCAGTCTTACATTTTTGTTCATTCTTGATTAGGTGGGAATATTTTTCTTTGTCTATCTCTATAAAAGTATCCTATTTCGGATTCATAATTAACATTGAGGAACAACTGGTCTCTTATACTTTTCATTATCTTCCTACGTGATGCTCTAATTTGGTTTAGCTTTAACTTCAGTTTGAAGTGTATTTTTATGTGTATTAATCTTTCTCATAGATTCGATACTACTCATCTAGTGCATAACATTTTTTTTAGCACTTTACTCCTTGAAAAACATGCACGATGAGAGAAGTTGGGCATATATTCATTGCTGATGGTAGTCATTTGGTTTAAATTAAAATTTGTTACAATGAAACTTAGCATACATAATTTTGATCCATAAAGAATTTGATTAACCTCACAAAATAGGTTTCATTCTTGAATTAGTTAATAATAATCACATTCTAGCCATGCATTCTTAAACAGAGTTGTAAGCATAAGAAAAATATTAACCAATTTAGTCATTTTGAGTCGCATCACAAAAATTCAGAGGCTTGTTACTCTGTGGATCCACAAATAAGGACTTGTTTTAGGGACTTCGAGATGCTTTTAGGCATCTAAATGAATTTTTGAAGTTTAGGTAATAGACTATGTTTTTGTTTTCTTGTAACACATGCCTCATAATTCCTATGCAACTAAGTTGAAGTCTTTGAAACTGAGGGTTTTATGGAATAGGATTCGGTCCACGGACCACAATGAGGCCTTCTAGTTGAAGAATAGAGATTTCTTGTTTTTCATGTTAATTTTTGGAAATATAAGAGAGTCAAGTCTGGTACAAGGGTTCCAATGATGCCTTCTAATTGTTCATAAGAGATCCAATGGCTTTCGTATTAATTATGGAAATATATTATGTTTATTTAAGAACAATAGCCTAGCTTTTGATTGACATTTTTGGCTTGATTTGCTTAACTGATTAAGCTTATGGATTTTATTTTATTTTGCAAGCCAATGGTTTCTTTTCAATTTATGATTTTTTTATTTTCACTAGGTTGATTTCCTATGTTTTTTTTATTTTAGTTTATTTAAATTCTTAATGGTTTTTTTTAGATGGTTTGATTTTGTAATTTGATAATGTTATTTATTTGATTTTTTAGTTGATTTTATTAGTCTCTCTTCTCATGGACTCAATTTGAATTAAAAAATCTCTCCCTCGTCAGCTGGAAGCTGGTAATACTATCCAACGTCTTCATTTTCTTTTGTTTCATTGTCTATTTCTTCAACAACTCCTTGCTCAATGAAAGAGATCATCCTACTATTTGGGTAGTCCAACGTAATGTGACCAAAATCATAACACTTGAAGCATTTTCTATCTGAGATGGATTTGCGAGTGCTAGCAGTCTCCACATTTTCTCTATTATGGATTCATTTCTTTTCTTTTGGGGTTGGTTTGGGTGCTCCACTGCGTGTATTCTTGCTGCCTGATCCGATGGTCAAACCCTGTCTGAAGAGTTGTGATCTTGATACTGTGGTGTTACCTTTCCATCTTTAGGGCTAAGGTCTAAACATCTTGTAATGTCTAATAAGGCTATAATTGTATCATGTTGCCAATTGATGGTCTCAATCTTCTTAGATATTAAACTATGATATTCTCCTCAGACCACTAGCTCACATTTAACATGAGTTGCTGGAACACAATGGTGTACTTTACTAGTATATCTTGCTGCTCTAAATGGTGAAGTCTCAAAAATATATCCCGTGTAATTTTCTGGTAAGTGCTTGCATTGGATCTTCCTTTTTGTCTTAGTTTAGATAGTGGTTTTACTTTTCCTTCCCCCTGTCGAAGATGCTTCAGGTTTTCCCACAATAACAAAACATTTTTCCTAAATTTAATAGCTGTTATATACCCCTTCTGTTTAGTGGAACTCTTTATACTCTTGTTCCACTATCTAGAACCACTCGATGAACTCATCCAGATCAATATGACCGCCAAAATCCCACAAATCAAACTTTACTTCAAGGTACTGGATTCTCTTCTGATATTCCATGCCAAATCGTTGGGTTTTTGATTCTTCATCTCTGTAAACCATTTGGTGGAAGGGATTTACTTTTTCCTCTCAATCTGGCGAGTCACTATTGTAGTTATAGGTGATCTTTTCAGGTTTTCTTCTCTCAAAGACGAAAAATCTTTGTTATAATTGGAGGATTTTCCGTAGCATGTATTCCATAGTAAGTTTTGATACACCTCTTTACTGATTTCTCTTAAGCGGTGTTGTGTTATTTTCTCTTTATTAGAGTTTCTACAAATGTCGAATTCCAAATCAAATGTTGGTTTTTCAAAATTTAGGAGCAGGGTTAGGAATTACGGTAGGGATGATTAGGATATGGTGAGGATTTAGTGATTTTTTTATGTCAAAGATTATGGATTTTTTTGTTTGTAAGCAAAATAAAGACAAATCCCTAAAATTATAAGATTTCTCGGGCCCTGATGCTAGATGACATTGTTCTAATGCTCTTAGAAGATGTCTTGGAAATAGATTTAGTGGGAAAAGGGCTGTGAAATAGTGTGAGGATGATAATATGCAAGTTCGATGGTGTTTAGAAAGGGTCTGAGGTAAAATCTGCTATTGGACAGTAGATTCGGCGTTCATCACCAACTATCCTGGCTGAAAACAACATAGAACCCACGAAAAGACGTGATAAGGATGTTGAGGAGGTTCACCACCTGTTCCTACACAATCTATAGACACACCACCTACAAAAGAAAAAAGTGCTACAACACTTCTTAGGGTAGAAATCAAAGATAAAATTTCTAAAACAAAGGCAGATTCAAAAGTCTGCTAAACCAGAAAAATAACAACATATTAATAATTTCCTAATAGCAAATGACCTAATGAGAAAACAGAGAAATGAGAAAGAAAAAAAAATGTAAGAAATTTTGCTATACTGAAAACATGACTGTCTCGTGCGAAAGACATCCTGCCATTGCGGGATTTACTATGCTGAAAACATGACTGTATCTCATACGAAACATCATCCTGCGATTGCTGGATTTACTACGATTCTGCGGAATAACAAAATTTCACTCGGGACTGTAGCGGGATTTGTGATTCTGCATAATCCTGCAGAACCAACTCCAGCGTCACTAGATGAGGTCACCCATAGCTAGAGTGTAATCTGAGCAATCTCTAAGCTAGCCCGGAGGTCCTTATAGTCAGCTGGGGTAAAGTTAGGTCATCAGGGGTATGGGGGCGGTGGGGGTTTAGGGTGGAAGGGGTGCTTTCTGATCTAAGGCTCTGTCAGGTCAATCAAAATTGCATTAATTCAATCATGGGCCCTAGATAACTTGATATTAGTGCTTCCTTTACCTCATAGATGACAACATGAGCTTGCCAAATTGCATCATCATTTCCATGAGTTAATTCATAACATGTGGTATTAAATTTAAAAGTAGGACATTTACATATGAGTGCACAATTCTAATGTATTTACATATCTCACACCTAAAATTTCTTATTTACCCATATAGACTCAAATCTTAAACATCACATCATAAGTAGCCTTATTATCACTTTTAAAAGGTGAAATGTACCTTTTAATGCATATGTTTAAAGCATCGAAGTGCTATGTACATAAATATGAATGTTTAGGTGTGAGATATGTAAATACATAAGAATTTTGTGCTAGATATGTAAATTTCCCAATTTAAAAATGTTTCTATTGTTTCAAAATTTCTAAAGCCATAACTTATTACATTTTATTTTTCATCATTCGGATTTCTTTTCTGAAAGAGGTTATCTATTCATAATAATTCGTCTTATTAATCATATGTTTCTTTGTAGTTTGAATCAAATGTTTCTCTGTAGTTTGCCAATTATTTAAAGAAAACAGTTCAATCTCTTAAATATATTACTTGAACTTTTCTTCATGTTTTCTTTTTCTTTGAATTTTCTTTAGTTTGTCTATTGGATTGAAATTTCTTCATTACTATATCATGTTGTGTTACCCATTGGTCATATGCAAAATTTGTATGAAAATGTTTGTCAGAATCTTGTTGCTAACCATAATAATTTTAAGTTTATTATAGACATTAATAGAAGATATGTAAAATTTATAAATAGTGGTTATGGTTTGTTTGAATGCTAAATTTTTTCCTTCATAAACCTTTTAAATTTGCAGCATGGAAAATAATGACATATAATGTACAATTGATTGGGACGAATGAATATAATTTGAGATTTACGAAAATTTTGGTATCATTCCAACTTTAATATTATCTTTTTTGAATTTATGGAATGAGCTACCAATTAATAGTGTTTTTTTTTTTTGGAGTTGAGGGTTACACTCAACTGTTCATACTGATGTGTTGTGTTGTCAAAACAGTTTGTTGTTCGCGAACAGCTCATGCTCGGCTCGTTATGTAGCCCGTGTTTGATTCGTTTGCTAAGCAAACGAGCCAAATATGAATAAGTTTTTTGGGCTTGATATATAAACGAGCCAAACACGAACAAAAATTTGTTCATTTGTGTTTGACTCGTTTTGACTCAAAATAATTAAATATATATATAATGATTATTACTTTTAAATAATTGAATTGACTACAAGGCTATAGATTTATAATCAATTAAAATTACTAAATTAAAAATAGAATAAAAATACATTAAATTCTATTTAAATGAATATTTTAATATAAATAATAAAATTTAAATCTCGCCCCCTACTCTTAACTTACTATAGCTTTGTGATTATATATGTCAACCCCCTTCATCTAAACAAAAAAAAAAAAATCTGACGGGTTCTTTCATCTAAACTGAACTAGTCCACGGAAGAGCCGATCGCTCCTTCCAGTATGGATTAGCGCCTCCTTTTCATAGGGGAATCCAATCTGAGTTATCTTGGGCTTATATACGTGTTTCATTTATCTTAGGTTTTTAGTTTTGCCTTTAGTTTTCTAGCAGGATAGCCACCAACATCCCTTATCCCCTCCTAAGGCTGTATTTGAAAGAGAGAAGGAGCTCAGACTATAACTCATTTTGAGGTGATGATTTCCTATCATTCTGCTTCCCCCACAAACTCCCCTCTGTTGCCGCCGTTGCTTTGGCCGTTGCCGATTTTCAAAAATCGAGCCTGAATTATTTTTTTGTAGTCGGACTGCCTTGAAATAGGTAATTTTTTTTTAACTAGAGAGTAAATATGCTATTTCTTGTTAAGGCGCTTTTCGTTGACATTTTGTACAGGCTTCATCCATCTTAAGAGTGGCTAGAAATGGGGTGACAGTAGGAAGGCAGGTGATTGGAAGGGTGTGGATGGTTGGGAGGTCAATATTACCTAAAGCAATGTTGCGGCGACAGCTTAAGAGTGGCTAGAAATGGGGTGACAGTAGGAAGGCAGGTGATTGGAAGGGTGTGGATGGTTGGGAGGTCAATATTACCTAAAGCAATGTTGCGGCGACAGTCCATCTTAAGAGTGGCTAGAAATGGGGTGACAGTAGGAAGGCAGGTGATTGGAAGGGTGTGGATGGTTGGGAGGTCAGTCCGACTACAAAAAAACAATTCAGGCTCGATTTTTGAAAATCGGCAGCGGCCAAAGCGACGGCGGCAACAGAGGGGAAGTTGTGGGGGAAGCAGAATGATAGGAAATCATCACCTCAAAATGAGTTATAGTCTGAGCTCCTTCTCTCTTTCAAATACAGCCTTAGGAGGGGATAAGGGATGTTGGTGGCTATCCTGCTAGAAAACTAAAGGCAAAACTAAAAACCTAAGATAAATGAAACACGTATATAAGCCCAAGATAACTCAGATTGGATTCCCCTATGAAAAGGAGGCGCTAATCCATATTGGAAGGAGCGATCGTCTTCCGAGCTGGGAGCTGAATTGTTTTTTTGTAGTCGGACTGACCTCCAATCACCTGCCTTCCTACTATCACCCTGTTTCTAGCCACTCTTAAGCTGTCTCCGCAGCACCCAACTACATCTAACCTGCTTTCTCCCCCTTCCATACCTACAACCTGCTGTCAACCCCCTTCCAGTCCCTACAAATTGTTGCCAGCTTCCTTTCCAGTAACCTCCCGTTTGCCGCCGTTTCTTTCCAGCCACCTCGACCTAGTTTAGTTACTATTTCCCCTTTAACCACAATACCGTTGTCTTTATCATTAGTCCTAGTTGGGCTTTGTTCTATCTTTGTTATTTCTTATAATCTCAATTTGTTTTCCTTATTGGATTTGGGTTAACTCCAGTATCAGATTTATTAATAGAAAATGAATGCATGAAATCTTGAAGAGGCAATGGCAACATGACAAAAGGATTAAGAACTATGAAATGAAAAAGCAAAAACTTATCCACAAATTTTCACATTCCTGAAATCCAACCAAATTTTTTTTATAAAATTCACATCCGATAAAATTGGAACAATAAACACGACTCTAAGAATGCCACACATATATCAAAAAATGGGGTATATTTTAAAATTCTAAAAAATTTAACTAAATTAGCAAATTTGGGTATTACAGAATATTTGCATCTTGTTGATGTCTGCATTTTTTCAGTTTTTGTGCTCTAACATTTCCTCTTTATCACTCTCTAACTTGTTATCAACATCTTAATAATGACTTTGAATTCTTTCGGTGTTGAACTAGCTAAACAAATTTAATCTATCCAAAATTTCTCCACACGCATTATGAAAAAAGCTTATTGAACAAATGTTTATCTGCAGGTCGCTATCAGAAATATAAGGAGGGATGCAATAAAAGCATACGAGAAACTTGAAAAGGTATCCCTAATCTTTCTTTTACTCCAAATTTTATAGCTTGCGTGCTTTCAAGGCGTGGAACATGCTCAATTTCTTCACCCCTAATGGGAGAATTTAAGCAGACGACACCACAATTATAAGTGGATCAAAATTAGTTTTTCCTTAAAGCAATAGAAAACACACTAATAATCTGACATTAAAAATGCTTTCAATAACCCAATATTAAAAAAAGAAAAAAAAGAGCTAGGTAGTTGCACAAAACCTAGCACAACAATTCAAAGCAAAAAACTGTTGCAAAAATAATTAATGTTCATATCTTGTTATGATGATTCACCGATCATTCTTATTGGTTCTACAATGTCACAGGATGAGTTTGTTAAATAAATTCATTCTTTAACAAGTAATAATATTTTAAAAATGATATAATTACAGCATCAACTAATTCAAATTTGTTTATGACAAATCACTTTGAATTGACATTATAAAGCTAATATAATTATGCAATGCAGTCCTTAAACATGTTAAAAATAGCAGGTAATACAATTAAATGCTAAAATAGTAATTAGCATCCACACCAAACACATGTATATAAAACTGTCTCAACAAAGTTATAATATATAATACATGTTATTCTCTCATAGTACCTTGAGTTTAAAGAAATGCTTATACCTTTAATTTAAAAGAATCGTAGCTTTTCATATCAAGCTCGTCTATCATCTAAACCATTAGCATTAAATCGTATGTATGGTAGGAGAGATTAAAATTAAAATTAATGCACGCCTTAGTATATATACATAATTTTTCTTTCAATTGAAACTAATATATACATTAAAATTAATGTTTCTTCAGAAGAAGAAAAACCTTAGGTTGATATATTTGATAGCAAAAATTTGATTTACAGGAGGAAGGTTGCAGCTGATAGGTATTAGTTATGATGTGTTTGTGGTTTCTTTTTATTGTTTCTTTTAGATATGGATATATTGTTCATTAATGGTCTGAGATGTGGTTTTCAGATTATGTTATTATTTTTAGATGTCTAATTTTATCGCACTTTGTGGATTAGTGACTTTTTTTATATATTGGAAGCTTTTGAAAAATTTTGTGGAAAGTAAAATGAAATGTTAGTACTGTTGAACCTCAGTTCCCTCCTTAGTTATTTCTAAGCATCGAGCGGAGTTATGACTTGCAGATCACATGCAATGCTCCCTTACTCTTCCTCTTCTTCCTTTGAATAGCAAGCGATTGAGCCCTTCGTATGTGGCGTCGAAGCCTATTGTTTGGTTTGGTCTTCACCTACAAGGATTCGACCTTCCTTTCTCATCTTCTCTTTACCTACGACATCATCCTTCCTCCCACGCATGAGAAATCAAGTATCTCCACTACAGTTGTGACGCTGTCTCCTTGCCCCATACGCACACAAGTTCCAATTCATTGTTGACTAATGCAGACTTTCTTTCCTCACTCCAATGCAGCATCGACAACAAGGACTGAGATGTATGCTACCTTCTTCCTTCTGGCTCTTTGTTTCGTCTTGTTTCCTGCTTCTCGTTCAATTTGAAACGTAATGAGATGATGGGTACTCTTTTGATTTCCCACAAGCGGCACTTCTCCTCTAAATGATGCTTGTCTTGGTAAATGCTATTATTGTACTATTTTTTAACCAGTTATTACATTGGAATGCTTTGAGCAAAGATTGATAAGTGAGATCATCTTCAAATAACATGAACAAACTTAGCTTTACCCCAAAGTGATATTGAATGGTTATAAACTATATATACCATTACAACTTCATTTCATGAATATTTGATTTATGTAGTAATCATCATGATAAGGATTATAAATCATATGCACTACAAATATGAGCAAAGAAGTTAACCACAAATAAATAATGCATGGGATCAGTAATTTACTAAACAATGGATGAAGCCTGTAGGATCAGTAATTTACTAAACATGGATGAAGCCTGTACAAAATGTCAACGAAAAGCGCCTTAACAAGAAATAACATATTTACTCTCTAGTTAAAAAAAATTACCTATTTCGAGGCACAGTACTTGAATCTGATGCTCCTTTGGGTTTCACAAAAATAACACTCAAGGTTGGTTAGAAATAGCTTTTACACTTCTGATGAACTAAACTGCAAAACACCTAATGATGCCAAAATTTGTTGATATAGGGAAAACAAATTTTAGTGATATTTCATCTTAAAATTCATGATTTTTGTGTTAATCAAACCCTTTTTTCATAAATCAAATTTTAGTAAAAAGTAACTCTTAGGGGGTGTTTGGTTGCACCCAAGATTTAAGTTAAATAGGATTTAGTAAATCCTGTAAACTTAAAATTTTCAAATCCAAATGCGTTAAATCCAAATTAATATTTGGTTTGATTAAGGTTAAGTTCAGTTAAATTCCTTTGAAGTGTTTGGCAGCGAAGGAAGCGACAACTCACGTGTGTGTTTTCTTCCTCATTAAATCCGTTAAATCCATCTAATAACCGGATTTAATAAATCCAGGATTTACTTCAAAGTGGAGGAAAAATCAGATTTGAGCGACAATGGAATTTAAGGTTTATTTTTTTTTGCATTTGGTAAGTTTACGTTAAATCCTAACGTAAATCCTGTTTAAAATGCGTACGAAACTCTCTCTTTATTTACCTAACATAACATGTAAGTGGATTCATTCTCAAAATCAATATTCATGTGTTTGATTTAATTAATTAAAATCAACTATTATAGTAGAAAAGTAGCACCTTACCTGATTGAAGTAACATATTTGACTGATGAGCCAAGCTTTGCTTGGATGTAACTTGAATTGAGTAGAGTCTATATAGAATTGAGCTATTTCGAGATTGAATCAAAATGCATATGCTTGTGTTCATTAATGCTTATATACATACTTATGTATGCATTTACAGTTGAATTAATATATACTTGCATCAACGCATATATATGAATTTAAACAAGTATGAGTGTAGAATTGACTAGGAATTTGTCTTAAGCTCAAAAATTGATTGAAATCATGAGCTCTATTTGAAGTAAACAAGACATGTTTTGTTCTAATCAAGATTATATCATGCCTTCTTGATACCAGAGTTAACCCAAACTTTAATAGAAAAACATATATCATTACTTAAAACAATTAAGCGGTTACAATCAACGCACTTAAAGGAAAAATATAACAGCAAGACACCCGAAAATCGGAAATAGCAACATACATAACACAAATAATCAAACTAGGGTTGGATCTCGGGGTGATGGTGATGATCGATAAAGTTTTGGCCCTTCGACAAGGTAGGGAAGGAATGGGCGAAGGCTGGAAGGCGCGGTAACAACAAAGGGTGTGGACAGCGACATCCAAGGGCGGGAGTTGCGGCAAGGGCAATAAACTGGAAGGACAGGAATGGATCGCTGTGTGGCTAGAACAATAGAAAATAATAGAAAAAGGTTGTTTCCTGGTGGTTGCAGTGAGGGAGAATGTCGGCATAAGCGAGGGGGGATGCGGGGAATTGCAGGACAGTAAAAGGATAGCTTTCTTGGGTGGCGACAACGAGGATAGTTGGCTGAATGGGGGAACTGCGAGGAAAAAAAACAATGTGGGGCTATTTGGGGGTGGCTGCAATAGTGGAGGGCAATTAGGAGAGACATAGGGAGGACGTAGAAAGGGATAAGGAAGATAAACACCACTTTGGGAGGGAGATATAATCGGAGCACCACCCAAACCCTCAGATACCATCCTTGAAGGGAGAACGGACGCTATCAACTGTCTTGTCAGAAATTTGGGCCAAAATTGAATTTTAAATAATAACACATCACATATATAAGAAAAAATAAAAAAAAGAATGAAAGATAACGGGAAAGAAAGCATAAGAAAGGAAAATAAGATTATTTCAGATCCCCCCCCCCTCCCGATATATATTTTCGTGGTGCTGTAGCACCTAGTGTATCGAGTCTATGGTAAACTCCTACGTTAATCTCTCGGAGTTGGGGAAGTATCAACCCCATCCGTCTGTCTCCTCATCATATGCCGTTAGTTCGACCACGTTGAAGGTGGCAGAAATATTGTAATCTTCCGGTAAGTCAATTTTATTAGCGTTGACATTCGAAAGCTCATATTGATAATATATGTATACATCTTGTTTTGGCACAATCATAAATGGAACTTTATGTGGATGAGTATTCTCATGAGCCAACCCTCGAGCCATTAAATCTATAATTGGTTTCTTCCACATTTCGTACTTGTCTGAGTGTATCTGATAAACAAATATGTAAGGAGGAATTCACTCAAGTGAAATCTGTGGTAGACCAAATCACTCACTATTAACCACTCATGAGAGACATCTTCTTCACTGATAGGATATGCATCCCATTGAAGAATTTCCTTCCCCATCAAGTTCCCAAGATAAATTTTAACGCTGGGGTTCATCCCTCCTATATGGACATTTGATGATGGGTACAATACTCAACTGAATATAACATCTGAATAACTCTATGTAATCTTCTAGTCATGGCACAAAAAGACCCCATTTTCGACGTTCTGGACCTCCCTTAGTAGGAGAAACTCAGAAAATATTCTATAGATTTGAATGGTTTGAATTTTTTATCTGGGGTTGTCACATCTTTGATGTCTGTTCCTCCAACTCAAAACTAACTTGGACACTCACCGTGAAGTTGGTTAGAGTCTCTCCAATTCGCTTAGCTGGAAATATATGCATATTTTCCTCCCTAACTGGATGCTTGCCCTCCTTTGTTTCCTCACCGTGTGTCTACTATGTCATTACCAATTTTTCAAGAACGCTTCGCTCGGTGAAAAAGATTACCCCCCGATTGTCCAGTCTGATTCAACATGCCTAAATTTGTGGCACTTGTAACACTTCCCAGCTGTGACAGATTTAGGGATAAAGATTGGTTCCACCTGTTCTCCACTCTGAATCAGTTTTTCTTCTGATGGGGTCTTCTTGAGTGTACTTTGACTATAAGATGCTTATGTTGAACTCTTCCTATAAGATTGGTGGTTGCCCTGTGATGTGGTCTCTCCAGTTCTGAAGCTAGGGTCTGAACATTCTGTTTGTAGTAATCTGGTATGAATTGGTGCAGTATCTCCAGCTTCATCTTCAGATCTCTCGTTCTCCCTTTCGATTCTCCATATCATGGTTAAGGGTAATCCCCAATGTGTTTCAGCCTCAATGTATGCAAGCCTCCACTGAAGTCGGCGGATCTCTCGTTGTATGTCTTCATAGATAAGCTAAGGCATGTAAATCCTTAGTGACATGGTTAGGGTTTAGAGTTGGGAGGTAAAAGTTGGTGAAAAAAAATGATTTAGGATTGCTGATTTTGTAAGGCAGTAAGAGAAAATTACGATTAGGTCAAAGTTTGGCTATGATTTGGAAATAGGAAAGCAAATTTTTTGTGGAGGGGTAAGGCGGGGGCTGAGAAACCCTAGGATGAGACTAGAATTAGACTAGCTTTGATACTTAATGATACCATAGTTAACTCAAACCATAACAGAAAGACAAATATTTTTATTTGAAGCAACTAAGTGGCTACAATCAACACGTTCAAAAGAAAAAATATAACACGACGTTCGAAAATCAGAAGTAGAAATAGACACAAATAATCAAACTAGGGTGGGATCTCGAGGTGGCGGTGGTGATCGACATGTGGTTGGCCCTTGGATGAGGTAGCAAGGAGTGGTTGAAGGCTGGAAGGCGTGGCTATAACAAAGTTTGTTGACGGCGGTAGCGAATAGGAGTTGTGGCAAGGTCAACAATTTATAAGGAGAGAAATGGATGGTTCGGTGGCTGGAATAGCATAAAATAATTGGAAAAGGTTGTTTCTGTGCGACTGCAATGAGGGGGCATGTTAGCGAAAGCGACGGGGGATTTGGGGAATTGTAGGACAACAAGAGGACGGCTATCCGGGGTGGCAACAATGAGGACAGGTGGCTAGATTGAGGAAACTGCAAGGAAAACAATAAGGTGCAGTTGTTTGGGGGCAGCTGCAGCCATGGAGGGTGGTCAGGAGCAACGTGGGATGTGGAAAGTGATAGAGAAGATAAACCACACATCGGGAGAGAGATACACCCGGAGCAGCACCCAAGCCCTCGGATATAGCTCTCGAAGTGATATACTTTTGAAGGAAATGACTTAAAAAGAATGAAGGATAATAGAAACAAAAGCATAAGAAAGGAAAATGAGATTATTTCGGCGCTTCCCACTATATATATTTTTGCGATACTGTAGCAACTACAGGACCACGTCCACAGTAAGCTCCCGCATCAATTCCTTTAAAGGTTGTTTGGCTGCAAGTAGGATTTAGTAAATTTTATAAACTCGAATTTGGTAAATCTAGAGGTATTTAAATCTTGAAACTATTTGGTATGACTTATTTTGATGTTGATTAAATCTGTTTGTCAACTCATTTTATGATTTAAGTCCGTTGGTTGAAATATGTTAATGATATAATTATTAAGTGTAATTAAATTTAATTTAAATTTTTTATCCTCATTATGTTAATAACTGATTATTTATTTACTAAACTAACTAATAATTAGTAAAAAATTATTAAACTAATTATTCATCAAGCAGTAGTCTTATTTATTCAATAATCATTTATGAGATCAACTAATAATTAAATTTAATTTTATAAAATTAATTAAGTTTTAATCTGTAATTTGATTTTCATTAATTCATCATACCATAGTTACACATAAATTTATATAATTATAATTAACGTCATAATATATTTATTGATTACTAATTATTATTAAATTATTTAAATTAACTCAAAATAAAATTATATTAAATCTCAAAATCTATCTCATTCCCTTTTTGCTGCTCGCAAACATTGCCTACCTCGCTTCAATGACTCCCGGTCTCGTCCGAAGCTATCTTCTACCTTTACCTTCTTCTTTTGTGCCCTAAACAGTCGCAGTACAATCATACTAAAGCTAGCTGGGAAGGCATTGTCGGGATCTTGAATACTCAAATTTCCAAAACTCCCATATATCTCCCCTTTGCACTCCTGCTCTTACTTGACTAACCCTTATCTTGCTCTTCATCCTACCACACTTTGCGTGCTTCAGCTCCTCTACATCCCGTAAAGCCACTTTCCAATGGGGTCTACTAAATCCTAGATTTAAGGCAAAATAAAGAGGAAACAAGATTTAAAATTTTTTGGGATTTGAACTTGTCATTTTTGCTGTTTGGTAGGATTCAAGATAAATCATGCTCAAATCCTGTTATCAAACAGCCTAGTAAGCATTTTGGCTCAGCTTGATATTGGATCGAAGAACTTTAGAGGTAATCTTTTGCCATGATTATTTCACCTTATGATCAGATCATTAAAAGCCCTATCGGATCATGTCAAAAGAGTCCACATGCAGGTATTGAAGTTTAAACTGGGTAGGTCCGCTCAGGTCAAAAGATATACTATTATTACTATTTTAAAGCACAAATTATTACACTTCTTTTCAACTACTTTTAACGTGGGTACTTGAAGAGATTTCTTTTCTTTAACATGCTTCAATTTAATTGGAAGCTATGAATAGTTTTTAACTGCTTTGCCGGATTCTGCTAAACTACAAAGTATCAAATGATTTTTTATAATGACATTGAAATGAATCCTTCCACATTGTATCAAAATTTCGATTTTATACTTTATTGGTGTGATGAAATAGAATAACACCAGTTTAATGCATCCAGTTTTGTTTGAAGTCCAAGGCTTGAGTTTCATTTTTAATGTTTGTCATCAAATTCTTTTCGGAAACATGATTGAATGTTTCCGTATATCTTTCTTTATGTATTATAATATATTTTTACTAAATTAACCTTTAGAGGTCCTTCTGTCCCTTTTGAAAATAACATCTATGGCCATTCTTGCTTCAACAGGTTTTATAGTTTTTACTGTATTGGGTTTTTTTCAGGAAAAAAAGCTTTCCGAAGATAATGTCAAGGACTTGTCTAGCGATTTGCAGGTGAGTACAGATTTTAGTATCTTTCCATTTTAAATCTTTTTCTTAACGACTTTTCTTTTAGATAGGGCTTGAGGACTGTATCATCTATGATGCTTCCTTAAAACATAGTGCTATTGGAGTTCACTTTATCTTTGGTTCCTTATGCAGAAGTTGACTGATGGATACATGAAGAAGCTTGATTCCTTACTCAAACAGAAGGAGAAGGTACATTCGTTATGTTTGTTTCTACAACTTGTGTTATTAGGGCCATTTAACTGTGATAACTACAATAGCATCTCATAGGACCATATAACTAAGACATGAAGCTCGTGTGCTTATTAGATTTTTGATAGGATGGGAGGTTATGTATACACTGCCTTGCTTAAAAGGCCATTGAGACGTGTGCCTTCAGGTGCTTGTCAGACTCAAAAGTGCAAAAAATTTCTCATGACTCGAGTCTTATTGTCTTAGTAAGGCTTGATTATGCCTTTTTTTTTGTCTGGGCATTATGCCTTGATGCATTTGAGACAACCCCTAAATTAGGTTTTGTGTGTGATTGAAAAATTCAAAAAAATAATCTAAGTATGATTACTGGACTGTATTATTAATTTGTTATTTTAATTGAATTATATTGGCTTTAATGTTGAAAGGCACAGGTAATAAAAAAAGGTGTAATGATTGAAAAAGATTTTGGAAATACAATGAGATGGAATCAAATGGTAATAAAATTATTATATATGATGATTCTTCGGAATATGATGAAACTTTAAAGTGGGGATTAGGTCCACTTGACCTTTTAATCAAGGCGGTGAATTTAAATTTTAAGTGAATTTTTATCTTAAATATTATTTTAAACTTTCATTTTATATCAACATACTTTGTGGTTTATGTTTTTATGAAAATAAACTAAATGAATAGATCAATGATTTATGTCACATGTATAAATTATTTTTAAATTTATGATTTTTTTTTTAAATTTTATTTTGGGGTTTATGCCTTGTCTCACTAAGACAATATCTCAATTCTCGATCTCGAAATTTTAACATTAATACATTGTAAAGCTGTCAAATGGCCATGCATCTGTAAAATTTGTGTCATGTACAGTCTTGCTTTGATGAGGTTATAAGTTAATTTCATTGAACCATTCGAGTAAAAGACACAATGTGGACAGTTTTTCAGAGCCTTATTTGTTAGATATACAAATGTTAATCTTTTCTTTTCTTAATGTTGTTGGATTGCCGTTGATTAGTAAATGGGTGTAATAACTAAGTTCTTATTTGGTTGCTCTTATGCCTCATGTAGAAGCTTTTAGAAAAATGTTAATTATCAGCAGCCCTATATATTATTTTGCTCTTTAAATACTGCTTAAGAAACCTTATATTGATTCCTAGTTTCCATTAGGTTTCAATACTTGTTTCATTGAATGGACACAACTCTTTAAATTCTGAAACATAGGTAAAATATACGGACAACTGCTCTAGATAATATAGACGGGTAACAACCCCCGAAGATGTGGCATTTGGCAAATATTCTAAGATGAGATACTTGGAAAGGAGATTATTCCAATGTGTATGCAATAACTAATAAATAATATTAAGTACACAGAAGCATTCATATGCATCAAAGATAACAGGAAAGTGCGACCAATAAACAAGTATTGAAACATAAGGAACATGCAGCTTCTGAAGGGGCCGAGTGATAGTGAGAGAGGGACACTGGGTAAGAGAGTAGGATAGGAATATTGTTAGGTTTTGGAATTTAATAGTTAGAGGGGCATATGCTTGTGGAATGAGTGTTTCACTCAATGATATATCAATTTCCAATTTGTGTCAAAAATGTGCCGAAGTTTTTCGTATGGATAAAATATAATACGCCTAAGTTATCCATGCATAGTAATTTGTACATGAGACAATGATGATGAATCTCTTGAGATTACTTATAGTTCATGTAAGTAGTGCACCTTGTAAAGGGTTCATGCTTATGTTTATGTTCTTGGTCAGCAAACTTGCTTAAATTTTCTGTTTAATTTGGAACTATATTGATGTTGTTGTCAAGAATTTTTATTAAGGATTTTCTTCATGAGAGGGAGGCGCACGAGGCGCAAACATATCAACACTTCCTTCCCGAAGAAGCAACTTGTCCTCAAAGGTGGAAGGAGTGGAATTGCTTTCGAATACCCTCGTAAGACTCTCATATTGCTTCATAACTCGGCAGATCCTTTCACTTAATCAGTACCTTCATTTCTCCTGCCACTCCTCAACGCATCCCTTCGACGGCAACAGTTCTAGAATCTGTTCCATATCCTCTGTCAGCATCGGAGGCAGCCAAGGCGATTGTGGATGATCTCCGATAGTTTGCCTCAACTGTGAAACATGAATGATTAGATGTAGTGCTGACGATAGTGCTAACTTCGTACAGTAAATCGCTGCCCCAATGCGTGTCGTAATCTCATAAGGTCCAAAGTATTGTGGAGAAAGTTTCTCACTCTTTTTGGCTAATGTCTTATGTCAATGGGCTCTCAACTTCGAGTAAACCATGTCCTTGGTTTGATCTACACCTCTCTTGTATGTCCATTAACCTTCCTCTTCATGATTTGTTGAGCTCTCAGTAGGTGCCCCTTAATCTCTATCAATATTTTATGCCTATCTTTCATGTACTGGACAACGCTAGTGTAGTACTATGCCCATAATGTATTAGGTGAGGTGGATTCCATTCATACAAAATCATGAAAGGGGTGATATATGTCGCGGTGTGATATAAAATATTATACCAATATTCTTTCCATGCAATCCATCTGGCCCATAACTTCGACGTATCCGATACAAAACAACGCAGATGTGTCCGCACTTCTGTTGACCACCTCTGCTGACCATCGGTCATTGAATGATATGTTGTGCTCCTCTTGAGGATTATTCCTTGTAGCATGAACAAATACTTCTAGAATTGGCTGAGGAACACCTTGTTCATATCTGATATAATAGAATCTGACATTCCATGCAAAAAGACCACTTACTGTATGAACACCATCACAATTGAGATCGTAGTGTAGGGGCGTCATAATGGGATGAAATGTGCATAATTTCTCAAGTGGTCTCTACCACCGAAATCACCGTAAACCTCTCTTATCATGGTAACACCTCTATAACTTTGTCACTTGTTCCCAAACCTTCTCTGGCAAAGCTAGGGGCTGTAACAGCCCTCTTGGCACCATGGTTAAGTATATCACTCCACCTTGTCTTCTACGTCTCCGCGCATCCCCTCACAGCTGTCAATGGATGATTGTAAGTTTTTTGTACCCCGAAATGTCCCCCAATTGCACAATCATGAAACTCAATAATTTGGGAATGTACTATGATGCCTTTGACAACATGAACCGCCCCTGGTAGAATAGGTGCTCCCCCTCAATGCATAGCCTGGATGATTGTTCGGATCCTGTAGCAACTTCTCCTGTATTTTCCTCAACCCTTTGTCTTGTTTGCTTTCCCGTCTCATTGCTTCCCTATCTAGGACCAAGGGTACCGATAAGATTGTCGGCTGGGGTTCCTCCACTTTCTCGACAGAGCTCGATGGCTTTATTCTTCAATTCTGGCCGGCATTGAATCTTGAAATCATATCACAATAAATTGGATAGCCACCTCTGATGTTCTTCAATCACCGTCCTCTGTTCCAATAGATATTTCAAGCTCCTCTGATCCGTCCTGACATGAAAGTGTAGTCTCAGAAGGTAGGATCGTCACTTATGAATGACCAAGACAGTAGCCATCAACTCCTGCTTGTACACTGACTTGAGCCTTGCCCTAGATGTGAGCATCTGGTTGCAGTAAGCAATTGGCAACAGGTCCTGCGTGAGTATTGCTCCCAATATGTACCCTAATGCATCTGTTTCTTTAACAAATGGTCTACTGAAATCTGGAAGTTCTAATACAGTCATGGCCGCTTTAGATGTTCGAAGGCTTCTGTTGCCGCTTCCCCCCACTTGAAGTTATCTTTCTTCAGTTGTTCCGTTAGTGGTCATGCTATCGTTTTGTACCCCTTCACAAATTAGACATAAGAATCCTCTCAACTCCTTCAAACTATTGGGTAAAGGCCAGTCCATCATAGCCTTGATTTTGGATAGGTCTGCTGTATTCCTGCCCTTTTCATGCCCTAAATACTCCATCTGTAGTTGTGCGAAAGAACATTTCTTCAAATTGACATACATTTGGTGCTCTTTCAACTTTTTCAGGACTGCCCTCAGGTGCTACACATGTTCTGTCTTTATACGACTGTAGATCAGATGTCATCGAAGAAGTTCATGACGAATTTTCTGAGGTAAGGTTGAAAAATCCTATTCATAAGGTGCTGAAATATGGTCGGTGCATTGTTGAGATCAAACGACATCACCAAGAACTCGCAATGTTATTCATGTGTCCTGAACACTTTCTTGTACACATCAGCTAGATTCATCCCAATCTAGTAGTATTTCGACTTAAGATCGATTTTCAAGAAGATGACTGCCTCATAAAGCTCATCTATCAACTCTTCAATCACATGAATACGAAACTTATTCAACATCATCTCCTAGTTCAAAGCCAGTAGTTCATGCAAAACATCTAACTACCATCTTATTTCTTCACCAACAAGATTGGACCGGAGAAGGGGCTCACACTGGGTCTGATAATCCCGACCTCGAGTATCTCTTATATCAACTTCTCTATCTCATCCTTCTGAGTTTGAGGATATCGAGATGGTCTGACACTGATAGGGGGGACGCCCTTCTTTAGTGTAATAGGATACTCGTGCTCCCTTGAAGGTGGTAGCACACTTTGCTGCTGAAAGATGTCCATAAACTGCTATAGGAGCTGCTGGACCCCTTCGGGAAACTCTGTCAATTTGTGATCTTTGACCTCCTCAATGCTCTGCAACTCTACCAAGTAGTTTATCCCTGCTCTAAATATCAACTTGACCGTAGTTTAGAGTGAGGTCATGGTTTTGCATAAGCTAGCATCTCCTCTCAGCATCACTTTCCTACCCTCCACCTGAAACTTCATTGTTATGGATTTCCAATCCACCTTCATCTTCTCAAGCGTCTGCAACCGCTTCATCCCCAGAATTACATTTGTGTTGCCCAAGTTAAAGGGAAAGGAGTCTACCAATTGTAGGCCATGTAGTATTAGAACCAACCCATTGCAAATCCCCGACTTCTCTCCATTATGACACCGATGCTCCTTGTAGCTACCAGCTCCAACCCTAACTTATTCACGACTTGATCTGAGATAAAGTAATGTGTGGCCCAACTATTCACTAGCACCACAATCAGTCGTTCCCCAATTCGTCATCTCACTTTGATAGTGTGATTCAGATTAAATCTTACCACTAAATTGAGGGACACCTTTGTTACATCCAAGTGTAGATACTCCTCCACCGCATCTTCCTTTGATTCCTCACCATCTGGCTCCTCCTGAATTAAACTGATTTGAAGGGAGTGTTTCTTGCAACGGTAACTTGGGGCATACTTCTCGTCAAATTGGTAACATAATCCTTTTGCTCTTTTACTACACTTCTACATCAGTGAGGCGCTTTAAATTTTCCTTAGGACGGGCCTTTGTATTCTTCTCTTTTGGCATTTCTTTATGAAATGACACTGTCTGGGTTCTCGGTGTCATGACCATTGAGGAATTCTTGTAGAATTCTCCTATGTTATTGTCTTTGCTAGTTTTCTTCACTTGTTTATCTGAGCAAGCTCTATCATTTCTCTCAATCGACTTGGTCTCAATGGTCAGATGGCCGCTCGAATGTCGGGCTTCTGGCCCTTTCAAGAAGTTTCTTTCCAGTTCTGCTGCAGAAATTCCCTTCAACCGCCTTGACAAGAGCTCAAACCTCTCGCTGTATTCCGTAACTCTCTCCTCCTAAGTCAGAGCATAGAATTGCTCGTGTAGCTTTCCTTCCTGGATGGCTTGGAAACGATTTAACAAGCAATCCTTAAACTTCCCCCACAAATGTATCAGTTATTTTGCCTTCATCCACTGGAACCACGCTAGAGCTTTTCCCTCCAAACATAATCTTGCCACCATGAGCTTCCCTTCCTCACTTAACCCATTGACTATAAAATATCGCTCCACTCGATACAGCCACCCATGTGCATCTTCTCCTTTGAAGATCGTCATCTTCAGTTTTCAGACTCTTGCATCTCCACCCCAACTTCCTTTTCCTCTGTTGTTTGGCCCCATAGTCTAGGGTGAAACTCCCTATTTTGATCATAGACATACCTAACTTCTGATTCCCTTTTTCCACCTTTGTGTTTTCCATCCCTCCTATTTCGGCCCAACCACCTCCTTCGTAAGTTTCCACTCCCCCTTCTCTCGGAGTCATAGGACAATGCTCTTGCTGGTAGATAATGTCCTCTTTGTTGTTCTCTTGTTCGATCTCCTTTTCCTTTTGATTTGGCTAAGGCTTCCCTAAACAACTCTTGGTTTGGTTTTGTAATTTTAGCGGCGGGCAGGGCCTTGGATTTCATCTCCATGTGCCTCTTCATCATCTCTAACATTTCCCCCATGCAATCGAATCCGTCCTCCATTTGGCTCTATATGGAAGAAAAATTGTTCTCTATGGTGACAAACCATTCTTCATGCCTAATCTGATTTGCCCTACTTCTCCTTACAACACATCCACTTTATTGCTGCTATCCCTCCAAGATCTCATGTTGATACTAATTTGATACGATCAAAAACCAAAAACAATGAACAATCATTGAAAAAATTACAATAGATAGGTAGAAAAACTCTACTCTTACAAAAGACCAAAGAAAACAAGCAAGATACAACGATTATTTACTATTCGAGAGGTATATCTTTTCTCCACTAACCCTAGATGTTGCTAGGAACATCACGAAAAGAGAAGGAAAATTGCAGTCAAAACAAAACATAAGACAAATCCTAGCCCTTTGCCCTCCTAAATACTCTCAAAATCCCTTTCAAAGTTTCCCCCCAAAACCCCCCTTGATTTCCTTCCTCCTATACATGATTAGCGGTTCCGTGGCACCCCCCCGGGTTCTGGACTCACCCTCAAAATTTTCTAAAAAACCCTCTCCTTTGGGCTGAGCTGGCTAGCTTGGCCAGGCCGCCAGTGGGTCTGACTTGGTATAGTCTGTTCAAACTGGTTCTCCTGCAGGAACGAGAGTCGCTGCTATTCCTTCGTGAGAGGGAGGCACATAAGGCGCAAGCGTATCAAATTCATAACTCAAGTGACTGTGGATTGGAAAACATATGAGCTTCAGTCCCACAAATAATATATGATGTCATTGTATGGCAAATCACTTCGTTTGTGGGCTTTGAGCATGACAGTTATTTTTTGTGGTATCATTTTTGTGGCAAATCATGAGAGCAAAAGCACGATCTACATTTCTGCTAGTGTGAGATGTTTTGAGAGTGATAATATATGTACACTTGATATATTAATCTTAAATTTGTTACATTCTATAAACTATTGTAGTGGATGAATAAATTTTTCTAATTACTCGGAATGTTAAAATAGCTTGAATAAATTTATCAACCACTTAGGAGGGGGATGATTAGGTTAATTAAGTTTGATCTAATCTGGTAAACTTCAATCATTATGAGAAGGATTAAGCCGACTAATACTCACTACCTCGCCCTATAAGAAAAACATGTGTGTAATGATGAATTTGATTTTGAAAGGAAAACATTATGGAGTTTCAAATAATTACACATTCTAAAATAGTTGCATGTTTCTCAAAAGTTAAATTTTTGTTTTAGCCATCACAAAATATTATTTGATATTTGGCTATATGTTTATCGTATTTGTTGAGCACATATGAGCAAATTTTAATTCATTTATATTCCGACTGTATGCGCAAGTGTCTAGCGCTTTAGCCGAAGCACACGCATACATTCATTATTTGATGATATGCACGCCTCTTTGTATGCTTGCATAATGTATTTTCATAATTTTTAATCTATTTGCATGTCATATTTATACGCTTTAAAAGCATTTTGAAAAAAAATCATCCATGGATGCGTCCACATGGCTTGAAAATATATAAATTTAATTATTTGTACCATTGTATTATTATTTATGCTAGCTTTTATTTTATTTTGTAATTTTTAAAAGACAACTTCTATCCTTTTGCTTGTTTCTATTGTGGATCCGGTAGCTTGCTTGTCTAGCATTTTAGGTTCTATTTATTTCAGCGTTTAAAGTGTCATTAATCTGCTTGCATTTAATCCATGATTTCATTGAATTTTGGATGTTCATGAGAGTTTTAGGGATCAATGAGAAGTCTTCTTTGTTCCTTATACATAAGCTATCAAGTCTCCTGTCGATCATATTCTCATTCCATTTGTGTTTTTGTGTGTTGTTCCAATGTAAGAATTGGCACAGTCCATTGTTCATCAAAATGTTCTATTTGTGCTTGTAAGTGAGCCTTCGAGTCCTTGGTTGTGTACTTTTAATTCTTCTTTAGGTCCTTTGGTGTGAACTCAATGACATTTGAAATAATTTTTTTTCTTACTACCTACTCTTTTTCTCCCACCACACCACATGGTGTGTATATGGGTCATTTATTGTTAAATTAACACAATTTTTTGTCATAGTATGAATGATGTGTACATATCTCATCACACCGATAGAGGTGCGTATGGGGGCCTTTGCGTCCACGAAAAATTTTCAAATACAAGATTTTACCATCACTATAAAAACGGAGTTCTCCGAGACTTACTTTGTGGGTTTGGTGAATTTGGTTTTGCATTTATGCCTCGTGTGTGAGGCATGAAGACGCAAAAGAGACAATTTTGTTGCAAGAATATGCTTAAATTTTTGTGTATAACGTTCATTCTTTAAAATTGAACATGATGGGATACTTGCCTTCAATTGCTGCATTGAATGTTGAATTTGTTATTTGGGTATGATAAGTGCTCGAAGCGGGTACTCAAGTATTCGTCACCTCGTTTCTAATCAATGTGCCGCACATTCGAGGACTGTCGAATGTTGAATTGTTGTATTGAAACATTGATTTAATTTCAAGAGTTTTTGAGGCCAGAAGGCTTGCTTCTCCATTCCCCACTTCCGCAATTTCTTCAACATATTTTGCTGAAACTTCTCTAACAATTTTGAGCAATTCAGTTATATTCATAACTCACGCCCAGATTCTCAGCTTGTCATAATCCATTACTTGAAATTCATATCTCCCTGGAATTTGCTTTCTTTCTTTATTACTTGTATTTATCCAATCCTTTTTTGTATTGTTTCTTTTCCCAATGTTCAGGAACTGCTGACAGTGTAACTCCTTGATGCAATTGTAAGTAAGCAGTCCTTTTCTATGTAATTTTTAATTTTATAGACTGGAGAATGAAATTTATGTAAATTTGTTAAATTGTTGGGATTTTGTTATTAATATGCATACAAATATAAGCTTCATTTTGCTACCATTTCTTATGGAAACATTGACATATGGTTCATGAAATCATATATTGGAAGATATACGCACATATCACCAATTCTTATGTCTTTACATAGCTAACTCCTAAACTTTAGTTTTTACATACATACCCCTCACTTTTATGCATGCAAAGGTGAAGTTTTGATGGGGTGATTGAGTGGCATGAATGTAAAAATACAATGTTTAGGTGTTAGATATGTAAATATAAAGGAATTGGGTGGCATGTATGTAAATACTTTTTCGGCAATTACATACATACCACACAATTCTTAGCTATTTACATATTTATCATCTAAACTTTCATATTTACATGCATAACTCTCAATTTTTTATCAAATCACTCCATTCTTTTGCACTTTACATGTTTAATGCCTAAACTTTACATTTACGCCATCTTACCAATGAATGAAAATGTGCATTTTTCTTTTTTAGAGTTAAAATAGTAGATTGTTTTATGTGATGTGACAGATTTAGGTGGTATAAATGTAAAAAAATAAAAGTATATATGTCAGATATGTAAAATCATAAGAATTGGGTGGAATGGATGTAAATGGTTCGTGAACAGCTCGTGTTCGGCTCGTTAAGAAGCTCATGTTCGGCTCGTTAATTTTGTTCGATAAGTTAACGAGCCGAACACGAACTAAGATGGGTTCGTTCGTGTTCGGCTTGTTTTGGCTCGAAATACTACTCATCAAGTTTATTTATATATATTAAGTAATATTTTAAAAAATCTAATTGACTACAAGGCTACAAAGATTTATAATCAATTAAAATATTGATTAAAAAAATAGAATAAAACTTATTAAATTAGATTTAAATGATGTTTTAACATAAATAATAATTTTTAAATATTGCTCAAATCTTTATTGTCTTATGTCTTATGACTACATGATTAGGGTTATTAAAAGGACTCTTTGTTCATGAACAGCTCGTGTTCGGTATGTTAAGCAAACGTGTCGAACAAGAACACACTTTTTGAGCTCGAAATATAAACGAGCCGAACACGAGCTGAGCCTCGTTTACACTCCTAGTAAATGCCCCTGCTTTTGAACCAGAAATGCACATTTTTATGCATAGATTTATAACACCGAATGACAATAAATGTAAACATCAAACTTTTAGGTGCTAAATATGTGATATAATAGCAATTTGTAGTATGTATGTTTCCAAAATTTTAATGCTTACATGTTGCCCATATATCAATGAGCACAACTCTCTGTTGTGTTAAATTATTACGTGCATCTGAATGTGCCGCCGTACGATCCACAGTGACATGGTCGTATGCGAACCATCGTCCCGACCCGACGTGCGACTAGCGACTTAATAATTTTCTTTATTGTTGGGCTTCTGTTTGGTACGAGAATATGATATTTTTATTTTACCGCAAAAAGAATTTATTCATCTAATTATCGCCAAATTTGCAATAATGATAATAATAATAATAATAATTTATACATATATATCACAATATGCATGAATATATATATTTTTTGTATTATAAAAATTAAATTAGTGATATATTATAAATGTAAAAATTGTTGTGATTAAGATGAGAATTGGGTGGTGTATCTATTTATCCAACTAATAATAATAATAATAATAATAATAACAATAATCATAATAATAATATTATTATTATTATTAATATAGTCAAACAAACAAAAAGTTAGGTTAGAAGTTTTTTTATTAAAATTAGGTCATGATGATTTTAAAAAAAATTTATTTGTTTTTATCATAAATATATTAAATACATAATCTATACTTTAAAATAAACTAAAAACTTTAAAATTATCATCTAAATAATTATTAATTTTTAGTAAAAAAACATATTTTGGGCCAAATCATCTAACTAAATTAATTGAATTATTATTTTAACCCTTCAAATTTAAGCTAGAAACAGAGAAAATTTTTCTGTCAAATGTAGCTTCATCATCTCTTATCAGAATATAGGGTTTGTTTGGGGCAGTTTATTTGGTGCAGTGGCGTTTTGAAAACACACCAGACCTGTTTGGATGAACTACGTATTGCCGGCTTATGCGTGGTGGCGTTTTGAAAATTATTTGTATATTCTAAAAGTTAAATTAAATTGTATGGTATACCTAACATCACTAAATTTAATAAACTCTTATTACTTTTATAATTTTGTTTTTTTCGGAATTTCCCCTTTCAAAAGTCAAATTTTACTATATATATATATAGAAATAGTGTTATTTTAATTTATATAAGTCAGAAAAAGTAATTAGAGATTAGATTAATTAAATTTTTTTGAAATAAAATTAATTAAAATCTATGAAAAAATAAAACAAAGACTTTATTTTCAGCTTTATCAATATAAAGAATATAATTTAACCCAAGTTATTCAAATCAATTTTTTCTTTTTAATGATTTTAGGATGTGTGCAGCATATATAAATTATTTAAAATTATATAATATTTTTATAAAATGTATTTAATGATTTTTAGATAAATTCTTAATAACAAAATCGATAAATTGACGTGAGAATGTCGAGGTAGAGCTTCATGAAAGACGACACTGTCTTTTTGAAACCAAAAGACATCTTTCAAGCATATATTTATGACATCAAGTTGTTATAAGTGTAAATATCAAATTTGAGGCGTTGCATATGTAAATATACATAAGAATTATTATAAGCTATATACATGCCAAGGATGGTTCTCCTTCTCAATCTTTCAATTATTTCTAAGATACTATAAAATATCTTGCATTACTAAGTATAAACTCAAGCTCTTCAATCGACACATTGGCATCATCGAAAACCTCTTTAAGTTCGTCATATTTTGCTTCATTCATAGAAGAAACTAATAACTTAGAAGATGATAATCTTCAATAGATTTTTGATATCGACCACACATTATCTAATGAAGAGATTGAATTTATAGAGAAGGCTCAACTTTGAATTGATAAATATATAAGTTAATTCTACATTGCATTTAATAGATAAAATGTTAACAAAATGGTACAATCATTTGTGTATATTAATCGAAACAAGTTTTTGAGTAAAAAGACACAAGTATGTGAAATATTAATCGAAACAAGTTTTTGAGAAAAAAGGCACAACTATGTGAAATGAGTCATATATATATATATATATATATATATATCTGTGTGTGTGCGCTCGCGCGCCCCGCAAGCCATGATATGGTGGTGGGGTCACTGTAAGTCCTCTCAGGTCAATGGTTCAATCTCACTGTAGCGCGGGGGCTCTAGAATTTTAGGCACATGACACAAACTCTTATCATGGGGGCCAAAAAAACGTATGGGAAATTGATATTTAGGTCTCTGCCAAATATCGATTTTCTTTTATATATATATTAGTAAGGAAACCCGTAGGTGATTTTATTGCTCAAGAAGTAAAGTTACATGTTTTTAGGAGATTGGATCCCATTACTATATATAATGATGTGATGCAATGCATAATGTGATCATTAATATTAGAATAGTTAATATTAAAATTATACAATGTATATTACTCAAAGTTAACAATAATAACAAGTTAGATCATGTGACAATTAGCTATAAAGATATTTGAGTTGAAATTAATTTGAAAATATTGAAGTGCATGCATATTTAGCTTTGAACTATGATTTCTCTTATCTTTAGTCATTTTTTCTTTTCTATCATGTGATTTAATTCATTCATATTTCATGATAATCAACAAGTCGTCCATGCCAACAACTCCACAAATTTAGTTGGGGAGAAACAAAGAATAGAAGCTCAAATTGAGAAGGACAAAGGACAACTCAAACATGAAGACAAGTCCACAATTCAAGAAGAAATGGCAAGGAAACAACACATAATTTGAACTATTATTCTTTTATTAAATCATTATTAACTAATTAAATAATTACTCTTGTTAATCTAATCCTACAACAACTAATCCTCGTTATATCATATGATTAATTTCATCCAAAGTTATATGTCCAAATTATCATAAAATAAACACCTTAGCTTCTTTGGATTTTCATCCTTACTGTTAAGATAGACACGTTCATTTGCGTGTATGACTATAGTTCACAGAGTTATATTAATTCATGGTTCAAAGTCTTTGTAGAAAATTAGTATGTAATTTTGAAAAGTTACATTGCAAATTGCATTCATTCTTGTGTTTATGAGCTTATCCTAAACCTAAAACGACAGGCATAAAAATATTTCACTGCCATCTGAAGAAATCTACTATAAACTGGAGATTACAAATAAGATTCATTGTTCCCATAGGTGGAAAAGAGTTACACAATTTTCCGAGTAACAAAGTCGGTGTGGGGATGAACGTAAGAAGTAAGCGGCAATCAATGCGGATGGGTGGCAGTCGACGAGTGATGGTAGGTGACGATCGATGACTGGTTGTCTACAACGATGGACAAGTGGTGGTCGGGGATGTTGGCCACTGGTGGTCGACGGCGAGGTGATGCTGGATTTCAACTCTTTCTCTAAGCTTTAGTATTGTTTAGGGTTCGGGCTTCAAGCACCCTCCGCCCTCGTGAGAGGGGTGAGACTCCAATTATAGAAATCCTTGTGTAATTGACGCAGAAATATGAATCATATGAACGTTCTAAAGAGTTTATTTTAATCAAACAACGTTTAATAAACATTTGAGTGTCTTAATGATGTTGAAATTAAGCGATTTTGGACTCCTTGGATTTGTATTGTCAAAACACTCAGATTCGACTAAAAACTTGTCAGATTCGGCATTCATTTGACATTCCAAGTATATTCAAATAACTTCCAAACACGGTTTATCGTCTTGTTCGAGGCTTGATTTGGTTTGAATTAGACCAATTTTGACATCACTGGATCCGTCTCATCGAGCCAGTTAGTTTGACTATAAATTTACTCAAATCAAACTTTGATGACTTTTTATCAAAACTTTCACGTTTATTTTTTAAAAAGTTTATCCGTGTCATGGGAATTTGTTGATGACGTATCAGGGACCAAGCTTCCCTTATTTTCATGTCATCCACAATCAAAGTGCATTTTACAGAAGTAATTGAACGTGGAAAAACGAAGCCCACTTAAGCCAGGAATAATTAAGAAAACTTCAAGCAGACGGTACACTAAAGATTTACATGGAAAAATACTATATATATACAACATCATCATGTTCGATATAGATCCAGTTTCTGAGTTCTGAACCAAATTAAACAGAGCTGTTTATGCATGGCTTTAACGCTGGGAAATAGTGCTGGTCTTCTTCCTAGAGTTAAGGGGAGTAGAAAGCTTAGAGTTTTGTCGAAGCAGGAAGAAAATGGAGGTGTTCGTTCTCCTAAAGAGGATTTGGAGATATCATCCAGGCTTGGCAGAATCAGTTTTCCTTCTCGTTTTCTCTTCGGTGCTGCAACCGCTGCTTTCCAGGTGAGACTAGAGGGTCTGTTTGGGACTGCTGCAGCTTATTGAATAATCTGCTGATAAGCTATGTGCGGTGGCTATTACAAATTTTTATTTTCTTAAAAATGTCAGACCGCTGTCAGAAAACTGTCAGTGAAAGCGCTGCTTTGAGCGTTTTCAAAACGTAGTTTACCCAAACGTCACCGCACCAAATAAGCTGGCCCAAACGGGCCCTCTTCCCCTCTCTAAATTAGAATTAGTATAATGATTTAATTAAATACTTTAACCATAGCTAGGAAAATCATGGTGTTTTTGTCTCTGAAATAGTTTTGTTCATGCAAATATGTTTTTATGTTTTATATTTGCATGCATGTTTATTTGACATTTCTAAATTGCATGTTGGCTTCAATTTAGGTGGAAGGATCAGCTTTTGGAGGGAGGGGAGAGTGTATATGGACAACTTTCTGCAGAAAATATCCAGGTTTTTGAAAATATTTTTGGTGCAAAATGTAATTATTTATATGTCTAATACCTACACTTTATCTTTTATATTTATACCACCCAAATACTTCATATCACATAAAAAAACACTACTTTTCAAGTTTTAAGACGTAAAATATACATTTTCATGCAACTGAAAGATTTCATGTCTATAAAATTTGAAGATTTAGGGTATGTTTGGTGCAACTACAACTGCAGCTTATTGGATAATCTGTTGATAAGCTAAGTGCGATGACTATTACATTTTTTTTTATAGAAAAACCAGACCACAGTCAGAAAGTTCCAACCGCATCTAGATAGATGCGGTGCGAAAACGTTGTTTTTGGCGTTTTGAAAACGCATAAGCTGCCAAAATGCAGTTTACCAAAACAAGACAGATGTGTTTTCAAAACGCCACAGCACCAAATAAGCTGTCCCAAACGGACCCTTACATAAATATACTATGCAAATAATTTTTTCATGAAATCTTGTAATTATTTTTATTTTCTTCTACTGTTCAGAAAAAATTGCAGATGGGAGCAATGGAGACATTGCATGCGACTCATACCACCGTTACAAGGTATGAGAATACCGGAAAAATATTACATCAGGGCTCCACATGTATACCTACGTGCCGAGTCCAATGAAATTACGCCGTAGATGTGATCGGTCCAGTAAAACAAGGGAATATTCTCCTCGTGTTATTTAGGTGTTATTTTGTATTATTTAGGTGTTATTGTGTTCTGAGAATATTTTCAGTGTTATAATAACACAATAACACATCAATGTTATTTGAATAACACACAATAACATCTGAATAGCACACAATAACACTTGAATAATATGAGGGAAATATTCTCTTGTGTTACGAGACCGATCAACTCCACGAACATAGTTTCATTGGACTTCGCACGCAGCTCTACGTGCGGAGTCCTGATGTAATATTTTTTCTGAGAATACCGTGCAAAAAATATTGGGAGTTTTTTTTTTATAAATATAGTCACATTTAAGAGAGAATTAAAGTTCCAACTCCCTGTTGTGCTAATTTGCTAATTATTTTCTTGAATATTTTAGGAGGACGTGGGACTCTTAGCTGACCTCGGCTTGGATGCGTATAGATTCTCCATTTCATGGCCAAGAATTTTGCCACGTATAGATATTAACTTTCATCCGAACAAGTTCATAAATGTGACTATTTTGTTAAATATTTTCTCTTTTGTGCTATTTATACAATATTTTTGTATGATGGGGTTGCAGATGGTCGTGGCAAAGTAAATCCGGAAGGAATTCAGTATTACAAGAATTTGATAGATGAGCTCCTTGACAATGGTGACAAAAAAATGAATAAGTTTATGGTTTGACATTTATATGAAAATATTATTATAATTGATACTTTTATATGAATATTTATTTTGTATTTTGTAGGAATAGAGCCTTTTGTGACATTGTTCCATTGGGATTTGCCCCAAGCTCTAGAAGATGAATATGGAGGCTTTTTGAGCAAAAGAATACTGTATGATATATATTTTTAAGACATGATGCGTCATTATTTCATAATGTCTATTATATGTTGACATGTATTTGATGTTTATTTGATATAATGTCGATATGTCATATTGGAAAATATTATATAATATATGGGCATTTATAAGGGTTTCTATTTGGGTTACTATGTCTGGCTCAAAACTAATTCGACCTGAATGTTATACATGTTGAAAATCCCAACCCAAACCTGATATGCCTTCAATCGGCTAACCCAAATCAAACCCATATAACCGTCTAACATAACAAATAGTAGTTATTTGGGTTTAAATTGGCTCAATTTCAGATTGAAGAGCCAATTTGAAGTCAATTTAGGCTTGGCGGATCATTTTCGGGTTAGTGGGTCAATCTGAACCCGAACCCAAAAATTAAAGAGGTTAGGATATTTAACCCAAACTCGATCCAAAAATTATTCTGGTCAACCCAATTGCTCAACTTGAACCGACTAAAAATTATCAAATTATTAACAACCCTAATTACATGAAAGATTTGCATAGTATAAATCTATAAAAATGTAAAGCCTTAAGTGTGAGACATATAAATATACTTAATGTTACATATGTACCCAATCAAGCTAACCCTAAGACCTATAAAATTATACATTTTTGCAGAGAAGATTTCAAAAATTATGCAAAAGTATGTTATGAAGAGTTTGGAGATAAGGTGAAGCATTGGATGACTCTAAATGAGCCATGGACATTCTCCACCCTTGGATATGGTGAAGGTGCACTTGCTCCAGGTAGATGCACACAAGGCCTTCCTGATCTTAGCTGCCCAGCTGGAGGAGATTCTCTCATAGAGCCATATATTGTTTCCCACAATATGCTCCTAGCCCACTCTGAAGCAGCAAAATTATACAAAAACCATTTTCAGGTATTTAACTCTCATTTTCTTATAATTGTCTTCTTCCACTTTTAAGGTGTTTACATAAATAACTGTTTTTTTATGTAAATTAATTAATTTGCAGGCCAAGCAACAGGGGAAAGTGGGCATCACCTTACCATCATACTGGTTTGAGCCATATGATAAAAACCCTAGTGACAAAGAGGCACAACAAAGAGCACTTGAGTTTAATCTTGGATGGTATGTTATTAATACACAATATATATTTAACTTTAAATGAGAAAATAGGACGAAGAAAAACTAGGAATCAACACAAATCCAAAAGAACACATAAAGATTTACGAGGTTCGACAAAGATGCATGCATCCTCGGGAGCAGAGCAGCGATTTCCTTTTCAATATTCAGATGAAGAGTACAGAATACAAGATTCAGAATCTCGGAGTCTCAGAGACTCTCTTAGGATTACAAACATGACATATATATAACCCTATAATACAATATGTAATTACTTAAATTATATATGTACCAAACCGCGAGGTGTTACCCCCGCACCCACATCCCACATAATGAAACTCCCCCGATATGACCATATCTAACAACTTTTTTGTATTCTTTATATAATTATGGAAGATTTACATACATACCCACAAAACTTATGTATTTACATATATAAAAGCCAAAGCTTGATATTTATACAAAATGTGAATGTTTAGGGGTTGGATATGTAAATACATAAGAATCGTGCGGTATGTATGTAAATGTTCGTATTATTTAAATGTTTTACATTTTATGGTAATTAATTGATAGGTTTATGGATCCACTGGTGTATGGAGATTATCCCTTCTCAATGAGGTCATTGGTAGGGGGGAGGCTCCCCAAGTTTAGTGCTGAAGCATCAGAAAAGCTCAAGGGTTCTTTTGATTTTATAGGGCTTAATTACTACACCGCTCGATATGCTCGAAGTGTTCCATTCCCAACCAAATTACAAACATACAACGACGACATATATGCAACTATCTTATGTAAGGTCTTATCATTTTTCTTATATTTATAAGATAATAATTAAGTATTACGCATGGAATCTAGAAGTACTCATATATCGTGTATAATGAGATTGTACACATTGTACAGGAATTTGTACAGCGTGTGCAACCTGATTGTGCACAAAGTCCAGATGCATGCAGACTCCGCACGTAACATTTGATCCATTATTAGGGAGTGTATATTGTTTATATATAATTACATACACACAATTGTTTTGCATGTGCATATTTAACAGTAAAATTTGATATTTATATTTACAACACTTATGAAAAAGTGTATTTCATTGTTAAGAAGTCAGTGGTAAATATGTAAATGTATAAGAATAGTGTGGTATGTATTATTGTTACATTTTTGGTATGTATGTAAATAATTTATTTTACTGAAGTAATATGCCCTCTGATATCTTTCCACATTCTCCAAATTATTGCAGCTGAAAAAAATGGCGTCCCAATTGAGCATGCAGAGGTAAAATATACTGCTAAAATTGCAATTTATATTTTGTCTTCAATTCTTATTAGAGAAAACATTGCATCAGGACTCCGCACGTAGAGTTACATGCAGAGTCCAATGAAATCACACAATGTGGCGGTGACAGGAAAAAAAAAAAAATCTGTCTGGTTACGCAAGGGAATATTCCTCCCATGTTATTCAGGTGTTATTGTGTTATTAAAACACCGGGAATATTCCTAAAATACAATAACATCTGAATAATATACAATAACACATGAATAACACAAAATAACACAAAGGGAATATTCTTCTGTTTCACTGGGCCGATTTTTTTTTACTGTATCTCCACGTGACGTGATTTATATGGACTCCACACGTAACTCTACGTGCAGAGTTCTGAAGCAATAATTTTTCTTCTTATTAATATTAACGTTTCTCCAAAGTAATTGTTATAATAGATTTAAGAAATTTAAATAGAATTTATAATAATTTATTTTATTATTAACTTGCAGCCTGGAAGTTGGATCAATGTGTATCCCAGAGGGCTCAGGGAACTTCTTCTATACATAAAGGAAAGATACAACAATCCTGAAATTTACATCACTGAAAATGGTTAGTTAATATAATAAATATTGCATTTACATATATACCCCAAGTCTTTCAAGAAGTGAAATCATATTTACGAAAAATTATTGTATCAGAACACCTGATGCAAACTTGCATCATGTTGCAACCCGGGCCAAAATCTCAAATTGCCACATGACCTCCTGTTATTGAACACCTGATGCAAATTTGCATGTGTGTGCATGTAAATATATAAGAACTATGTGGTGCTTATGTAAATTTTCTCTATTATTAATTTACATAAATATTATTTTGACTAGATGATTTTTAAAACTTGATAGGAGTAATGGAGAAAGATGAGGACTTACCGGTCTCTGAGGCTGTCATTGATCCTCACAGGACTGAATATCTCACTCTTCACCTTCATGAGCTTGCTGAAGCATTGAGGTAATCAATTCATATTTAATAAAATAATTTTTTTTAATAGAAGTAAGATTTAATTATATTATGAATTAATGATAAGTATTAGCCATATATAATAAAATTAATGTAATAATATAATAGTAAAGTGTCAAAATAGTCCCGACTATTTACGTGGGACCGTTTTAGAAGTACCCAATTAGTTTCTTAACTATTTTCAAAATGAGCTAGCTCTTAGTCCCTATGTTGAAGGATTAGAGCAAAAAAAAATAAGAATCGACACAAATTCAGAAGAACACACAAAGATTTAACGAGGTTCGACAAAGATGCCTACGTCCTCAGGAGCAGAGGGGCGATTCCTTTCACTATTCATAAAAAAGTTTACAGAAATTAAGGATTCAACTCTCTCACAAACCTAGGATTACAAACATGTCTATTTATAATCATAGAGTAAACCCTACAGTACAATATGTAATTCTCAAATTATATTTGTACCGTATAGCGGGGCGTGACCCAACACTCCCAACCTACATAACGTAACTTCCCGATTTGAACAGATTCTTCTGCTTCGCTCCGCTCAGCGTCTGTCCCTATATGGTATATGAGCCATACCATAACACCCTAATTTAATGAGTCTGGAAATTATTTCAGCACTTCTATAAACTCACACTATTTTTGCACCTCAATTGTGGGTTCATTGGTGAGCTGAATAAACAAATAAATAATTGCAGGTTGGAGGCGGATGTAAAAGGATATTTTACATGGTCTTTATTGGATAATTTTGAATGGAATTCTGGCTACACATCTCGGCTGGGGCTTCATTACATAGACTTCAAAGACAAAACGTTGAAGAAAAATGGTAATGGAGAGCTAATAGTGCCAGACAGAACCAGAACTAAGAAGAACTCAGCACTTTGGTTCAAAAGGTTTTTGAACAATGAGAGGAAGCCTGGAATGACCTTTGGCCCCAAAATTGAGTGATATGGAAATTTAGATTATGTTAGAATTATTGTTAAATAATTGGTTTATGTTTGCAATTATAATGTATTTTTTGTTAATGAATTATTTGTATTATGTGGAATACACTATATTTTCTTAATAATGTGATTTATTGTTTGATTAACTTATTAATGTTGTTTTAATTAAGTTACTTATTGATTGTAAGGTAACATGTAGAAGAGAACCTTGTGCATGGAACATTAATGTAATAAAATATATTCACATAATGCATGATATCAATTAATATGTTGGATTCTAGCTACACTTATAAATTTTAAGGATCCAACTCATTATTGAATATATTCATCATTATCATCTTCTTCTCCTTCCTCTTCTGTACATATATCTTTTTCCGACAAGAACTTATCATCATATAGAGAAGTATATAATAATATAATCATTATCTTAATCAACGATCATCAATAGTTTCACAAAAGATGCATGAATAAGATAATTTTGCATTAGGTTGGGCCAGTTCTATAAGGAAGGATCTAATATTGGATTGCACTCCAACTTGACAGAAAAAACTCTATTTTGTTCGTTTCTATTTGAAGGAAGTAGTTGTTCGAGATAGAAACTTTCCATTACTTCGCAGAACAATTTTAAGGGTTGCCCTTAATTAGATTTTCTTAAATTAATAATTAGAGCGTGAAGGACAATTCATCAAAGCATTATAAATGATTTTTTTTTGAAATCAATGCAACATAACCAAAAGTTCTTAATGATAAACCAATAATTGACCAAAAAAAAATTTGACATTAGAAATAATTAAGAGTGATTAAAAGTAGATAATGAAAGATTGAACCTGTGATAGGTGCTCAAGAATATATCAAACCAACTGATGTCAGAAAAAATCATATCTTCACAATCATGTAGGTGAATTTAGTCGTTTGAGTTAAGACTAAGAAAGATTCAAGCAAGAAATGCCCAAATATTATATTGGAAAAGGTAGTTATTAAAACACATCAACTTACTAAGAAGAGGAGCAATGAGATTATCAATAATTAAAGTAGTATGATTTCATTATTCATTTTAAGGATTTCCACTTTACTCTAACAACATAGAATCATGTTAGATAATTTCACCTAAATAAATAATAATAATAAGTCATTTTAGGCTGGTATGAAGTGTTATGACAAATTTCTCAAAATAAATCACACTCATTGATAACCAAGAACTATCAACTTGCTGAGAGAATAAAATTGCATGAAAAATAAATAAACTTTTTTTTTTTAAATTTAGCATGATAACAATTAAATGTTTAATAATTAATGTAATACTTGTATGTGTGGCAGGTTTGATATATGTAAGATTTATGCATTAAGTGAGAAGCATAAGCGTTTAAGAGAAAAGATAGGAAGTAGAAAAAAGAAGCATCACTTGTAAAGAGAGTTTGTGTGAGTTTGAGATTTTATTTTATAAAATTATGATTTTGATATTATAAAAATCTAATTTTATGTGACAAATTTCCAATTCATTTTAGATTAACTTATAATCTTCTAAGTAAGTAAGGTTAGAAAGGAAAAAAAAAATCTTACAGAATATAAATTCCAAGTTATATTTAAGACTATAATTTTTGGACAACAACAATAAAAGAGCGACAGAGAGGGTAATTAGCAACTGTATACTCAATATATAAGCATAAAATTAAACTTTAATCTAAAGCATTAGGCCAGAGCTCTTCTTAAGAGAAGAAATCATTCTTTCTGAAGTTTCCTTAAAAGTGGGAGAAATCACATTAGCTAGAAATTTTTTAGCTAAGTAACAACTTTTAATTGAAGTTAAATACACAAATCTTTCTATTCCATAGTGGGGTTAAGGTTTTTGTTGTCATACCCAACAAGGAAGGAGGCTAGCTATTAATTGAAGCTGACAAGAGTGAACCTTTTAAATGATGGAGTTAGTTAATGAAGATTTTAGGAGGAATTTTAATGCATGGAGAGGAGAGAGAATGGATAATAAAGTTTGATGATAAATATAGAGGAGACTAAAAAATTGAAAAAAAAAATTTGAGAAAGAGAGAGAGAGACAGAGACAGAAGTTCAGGTAAAGTGTGTATAAGATCCCACGACCAAGTAAAATGAAAGAAAATTTATGTAGACATACTAACAATGTAAACTTTGGATCTTAATCCCTCAATATAATGTTGTTTATAAAGTTTTTTTTTTTTCAAATTACTGGTAAATAGACTAAAAATGATTTTACTTCTCCTCCATCAAGCTCAAAAGGCATTTACTAAGTTTAAGAAGTTTGATGCTTAACCTATCTTAAAATAGATTAACCCTTATCTTGTTTCCACATTAAAGCATCACAATTTTAAGTAAATAGAAATTGTATGATATGTACGTGAAATATTAAGTATGCAAATAAATAAAAAATGTTTAGTATGAGGTGATATCGAAAATCCGTTAATCATAGTGTTGCGAAGTAAAAATTATTTCATATAGACACTGCAGCATGCAGAAATGTATGTGGTGTCTGACCTACCTCTATTTTCTTTATTTTTTTATTTTGAATGTTTTGATAGATCTGACACTTTTTTAAGCGATAATTTCTATTTGCGAAGTGCAAGGTGGAGACTTTTTTTCTTCCTCTCAGCACTGGCACATAATCATAATAAGCCGGGAAGAGATGAAAGGAAGTAGAGTATAGAATTTGCAGAGAGGGAGCAGAGATGGAAGCAGATCCGTTCCTGCAGAGCTTTGATTCATCTGATCTCCAGATCGCGAAGGAGTTCCTGACGAACTGGCTGCCTTTCGTTACCAAGGATCTCTGCGGTGGTTGCGCGGCCTCTATTCGTGACCGAATCAAATTACTCAGTCCAGGTTCCCACATCCGATTCTGCTACATTTTCGACTTATTCCTTATATTTTGGAGTTTATCATTTCATTCTCCTCTGATTGGTTATGAATCTCGGTTTTGTATGGTAGATGAGCAGAATCAGGAAGAACACCAAGCAGAAGAGGCTGGTGGCGGGGTTGGGGTTGAAGAATCGGGCTTAGGTGACGGTGAGGATGGATCTGGTGTAGCAGACGGGGTTGATGAATGCTGTGAAGCTTCGTTGGATGGATGGAAGCATATCAAGGCCACGGGTTGGGATACAGATCCAGCGACGGAGTCGCCTAAGGTGCGTATGTCCTGGGCGGATGAGTTGGAAGAAGAGGAAGAGGAGGAGGCGAGGAAGAACAGTTTGGAGTATGGGATGGAAGACGGGAAGGGAGAGATGAGGCAGAAGAAAACCGGGCTTTCTAGAGAGCAGAGAGAGCGGATACGATTTACTGGCGTGGGAAGGAAGAAGGATTTTGTTTGTCTTGAGAGGGTAGATGGAAAGATTGTGAATATTTTGGAGGGCATTGAATTGCATACTGGGGTTTTTAGTGCTGCGGAACAGAAAAAAATTGTGGATTTTGTGTATGAATTGCAACTGAAAGGGAGGAATAATGAGCTGGGAGGTAAAGATACTTCTTCTCCAAAGCTTTTTTTTTTCATGGATATATTTTTTCTCAATTTAGAAATGCAATTGCCACTTTTTCCTTGCAATTGAATTTGTTGATTTGAGAACTTGTCAGCCCGGCTTGCTTATGTTAATTTTAGTTTATTTTTGCTTTTTCATGATTGCATTGTCCTTTTATGTTAACATTCCATGATTGCTAATTACCTGAAAAATTTAGAAGTAATTTTAATATAAAATGAAATTTATACTGAATACATTGAACTTTTTGAAAGGATCTGTAACCCGATGGCTGATGAAGAAGGTTGTTTCTCCAAGCGTATGGTTTTGAGCCACTTAATTTACACAATTTATCTCACACGATTAAAACAAAACTTGAGTTATCGAATCCTTTGCTCCTATATATTATTTTATTTGTTTTTTTTTTTTCATTTATAGTTTTCTTGCAACCATCATTATTGATGTTCAGATTTGGAATGATGAGATCAGGCTTTGTGCAGAGAGGAGACTGCAGAATCCAGCTAATTCAAAAGGGTTGAGATGATCATGAGGACTAAAATGAATCAATCTTGTTGGATAATCTAGAGATTCACTTTTAATTCCTTTTAAATCAGGAGGCCTCAAAGAGAGATGGATTCAAATTCCTCAAAGTTCTCTTTTTCAGTTTTGTTACGTCACATTTATATTTGTTTAGGCTAAAGAACCCTCTTCAAAAAGTGCCTTCTAATTAGATCTTTTCTTCCTTGTTGATGTAGAAATTATCTGATTTAGATATGTGGATGTGCCATTACTTATTGGTCACTTCAAAAATCAACAATACCAATGTTCACGTCATTGGGGTTGTTGGAGCTTCCATGATGTGTCATGATTTGATTATTGGGAAAGTTTTGGACATTCTTACGAGGCTTACATTGTTCTCTTACCAAGTCTTGTCAAAATTTTATAACTTCAATCCCTATTTTTTATTTGAGCCAGACCAAATGTTTCAAGTTGCTTGACGATGTTGGTCGAGCCATAGGATTGATTTTTAATTACTATGAAATACTTTGCAAATGCTAAAAAAATTCTACCAAAATATCTTTAGGGTTTCTACTTGGAGGCATCCCAAGGAAGCTCATTTTGAAATGTTCCTTGGATTTCCACCCATATGTTTTCATAGGTATTCTATTTGATTCTTTATTTTCACAATTTCGACATTTTCAAATTCTCCTTGGATTTCCACCCATATGCTTTCATATGTGTCCAATTTGATTCTTTATTTTCACAACTTCAACATTAAATCGTGTAAAGATTAAAGAGATTGTGTTCTTTAAAGTTTTAATAGTGTAATTTCTCTTTTTAATAGTCTAATTTCTCTATGTAAATTGTGAGCAATGGTGATTCTTATATCACATTATTGAGATAAAAAAAGGAAGTTATTGTATGTCCATAGGCTTGATTGGTTTGTCTATTAAACACCATATAAATGAGATTTAAGATTTTAAAAACTAAAATAACTGATTATAATTAAGATTGTAGTAGATTATGATTAGTTTGATTTTAGAATTATATCAATAAGCTTGTTTTTGAATTTATAATACAATATTAGGGTAATTTTTCCTAAAATTATCATTGAATTTAAATTTTTTTTGTTGATTGTTTGTCATAGTGTTTATTTCTTTATGGGATTTATTTAAAAGGTGGATTAGAAAAATCTTTAAGTGTGTCCATATGAGTGCATGGTAGCGCGCGCATGTGCACATGCACTGACTAAATTTTACTGATCCAAGCCTAGCTAAATTCAAAATTGATCTAAGTTAGGCTTGCCTCATTATTTTGCTTCTTGAGTAATAGCCAAGCTTGATTTGATCCCAAAATTAATTAATTTTCAAGTGATATTTGATCTTCAAGGTAAATTCTATCCGTAATTAGATTTTATATTTACATTTTGTATCTTATATTTTGGAATTTAAGAGTTTGTATGTATATTATAAGGTGGGATATACCTTTTATTTGCTGCAAATCATTAGATTTTTTCACTGAGAAGACCTTTCATATTGATAATGCAACAGTTTATTGAGGCTAGTTTTAATTATTTTGCATAGGAACAAAGATATCCATGAAGTTGGGTATTTCTTATTTAGAGGACCCTTAGATATAATCCTCTCCCAATAAATGCTTTAAAGGAAAAGGCTAAAATGACAACAAATGTTTGCCTATTCACTACACCCAATTGCACCTATTTTTTAGAACATACTATGCCAACTTTACTAAATGGATTAGCCAACAATCCCCAAAATAAATTATTTAATGTATTTTCATTGAGTGGTTATAAGTATATTAGTAGTTATTTCACAAGAGGTTTTTATTAATCTTTCATTTGTCACAACTCGTTCTTTGCATAACTTACCTTATGATGATTCCATCATAAGGTATGTTATCAAGTATTATAATCATGCTCTAATCAGTTGCAGTTCCCGAATATTCTACTATGATCTGATTTTTTTTTTCCTCTTATCCTCCAAAAATAATGGATAATAAATACTTTAAATAACTTTTGGTAGTGAATAGAGAGTCAGGATATATGTCTAAGGTGGACTATTCAAATTAGTTCTTTGCGCAACTTACCTTATGATGATACAATCATAAGGTATGCTTTTAAGGAATATAATCATGCTCTAATTAGATGTAGTTCCCGAAAATTCAACTAGAATCCTTTTTTTTTCGTCTCATCCTCCTAAAATACAACAAGAACAATAAGCCTTTATCTCACTAATTGGGGTTGGCTACATGAATTCTTTTTCTCCATTGCGTCCTATTGAGTGTCATATTTTCATTTAATTTTAACAGATTAAGATCATTTTTAATATAATATGCCTAAGTCTTTTTAGATGGTTAACTTAATCGTTCCTCAAAGATTTCTTCCGAAATTCATGACCACAATTCATGATAACAAATTAACTAGCCAAGTTAAAAGTCATTTGGTTTCTAAGTGAATCCAACACCATTTAAGAATTTCACACAAGAATCACATAAAAATGCAAAACAATTATCCCTACACTTCCACAACAAAGGAGAGCAAAAAATCTACTCACTATGCATGCCAAATTCACCAACACAAACATTATATTAAGAACAGATCTCATGCATAGAAGTCTCGCAAATGTTTCTGAAAGAATACAAACAAAAATTCAATATATTTATCTCCTTAAGATTCTGAATTTGCAGATGAATTACAGGCTCTCTCACAATCTTACAATCTTTCTTGAAAACTTTCTTTAAAACTTCTTACTGATCTTCTTCCTCTAAATTCCTCCCTTTAGAATGACAGAAAGTCAAGTAAAATGCCCAAGGCTTTTCGTAATCAACCTTTTTATACTTCTCCTGGCGGACCGAGGGCTATGAACAGCTCGAACTGCCAATTTACGGGTTCTGGCGACTAGGAACCCAGTGTCTGGCGACGTCTAGGTGCTGGTGTGTGACGCCTAGGCGTTGTTTCTTTTCGTGCTCTAGGGATTTTGGACGAATTATGGTCTGCTTGAGCGCCTGAGCATCGCTGACCCAACACCTAGGCACTACATGTCTGACACATATACGACACTTACCTGGCACCAACATTCAACGCTCTCTAGAAATTACACCAATTTGGGTTTGGACAAGCGCCTATGTGCTACCGGCCCAACGCCCTAGGTGCAACTAGCTCGACACCTAGGTGCCACCTGCCCGACGCCTAGGTGCCATCGGCACGATGCTTTAGGCGCCATACCACACTTTTTCTCTGATTTGATCATTTTGAGCCCCATCCAATCCCTTTTTTCTGCAACCTACAAAACAGTACAAAAATCCTTCTCAAAGCACAACATAATCATATAAAATGCAAACAATTAAAGTCATTTTATACACAATTTAAAAGCACATCAAAATCCCTCAAACTTGAAGGTTTCTTGCCTTCAAGTAATAACAAAATTTTGCCATTTGATCTTGTAGAACAGTTAGAAGGGGGTTTTCATTAGTGACCACTTGCAATAAAACTTCCAAGGATGCATAGATAATGAACTAACGCTTTTGTTGAATTATTTCTTCACAGTTGCTTCTTGAACTTTGAACTCTTAAAATGTGATCTAATATCATATTTTTTTCAAGAGATTTAGTAGATGCTAAGTTAATACAAAGAAAGATGTGAAATTTTACAAGTTTAGCCATTCATTGATTTTAGTTGATCTGTTATTGATTCATAAACATAAAAATTGAATCGAATAAGGAATGTTGCGTGAGTTTTTGATTTCAAAAGAGACAATAGTGAAATCAATTTTTATTTGAGTTTCTCTCCATTCATTCATCTGTTCATTCTTTCTCTTCTCCTTTTTGCTTTTCTGTAGGATTTACTTCTTTTAATCCCATAATTGGATAGATAATCTATTTTTTCATACACATCATAGAGGATTACTGTATCTGGATTTGCCCTTTAATGATTTTGAATTCTACTAATATTTCCATAAATTAAATTACCCCAACATTCCCTTTCCAATTAATATTTATGAAATACAATATGTTAACATAAAACTCAAATTAAATGGAGGCAAAATTTTCAAGAAAATGCCCATCCAGTTGCAATTAACTTACCAAATACCCAAATCTCATTAAAATTCAATATGTTGATTGAATAAACATTTGTTGAATATCAAAGATCAATCTACAACTAATTCAGTTTAATTCAAGAAGAACCATGTCATCTATCTATGTATCCTCTTTTTTTAGGTTTTTATGTTCCCAAAATCATCCCCACTTAAGTCAACAAAAACCGAACTTTAGAAACCCCCCCCCCCCCCCCCCCCCCCCTCTCTCTCTCTCTCCCCAAGCACCAACATCTTAGGTGCAATAGCATAAACAAAATAGGAAGAACGATATTGCAAAAACATGTTCAACATGTAAATCAAATCAACATGAAACAAGCATATATGAAAGTATAAATGACCCACAACATTGTAAAGAGCACAAACATCAAATTAACTTACAATTAAT